CAGTTTTTTTATTTGTTTGTTGTAAATGTTGCATATATTTTCTTTAATTACCTTTCATATTTTGCTATAGCATATGTTATTTTGTTTATAGTGGATCTTAAATATTCTTATGACTCCTGTTTTGTTTGTTCTTGTTGTTGTCTATAAATGCAATTTGTTTGTTGTTTGTTTTTTGTATTTTTTTTTTGTTTTCTTTATTCTCATTTTTGTCTGGGTTACCTTTTTATTTGCCGTATTTATATATAACAAATTCATCTTTTTTCCATAATTATTTTTCTTATATTTTAATTATAGTTTATCATGTTTTTTATATTAATTCTCATCATAGATTGATTAAATATTCTATGTCGACTCATTATTTGTTTAAATTGTTTGTTTGTATAAATATGATTTCTGATTTGTTCGTACAGAATTTAATGGCTATATATATGTAGGTATGAATGAAAAAAAGAAACAAATCAAAAAACAATAAATATTTGAACCCTGCATCTGTGTGAGTGTTTGTGTTTTGTTGTAGTTCGTTTTTTCTTTCTTTAGTATTTGTAGATATATTTATTTATTATTTTTTTGTTGTTGAATAAACAACCAGCTTATATAAATGTTTTTGATACGCAACAATACAAGATTAACATAAATATCAATGGAAATAATAAAAAAAAAAATAAAACAATAGAGGATGAAAGGGTTGAAGAGGTGAGGAGGTGTGGAGGGAGAGAACAAGGATTATGAAACTCAAATGCGAGTAATCCAACCATTTGTTGAATATTTAATGAAATTAATTTGAAATGATTTAACTGAAATTAAAATGAAACGAATTTAATTGAGTTGAAAATGGTTATGCGCCTCGTATTACGTATTTAAGTTAAGCTTAAAATTAATTCTTATAACATTTATGCGATTATATTTAATAAATATAAATATATTTATCTATTGATTTAATGATTTATTCATTAAAATACAGGGTGTCCCAAAAGAAAGGTGATGAAAATGAAATGAAAGGGAAAGTTGAGGAAATGATGAAATATCAATTTTAAAAAGACTTTAAGTTTTTTGGTGTAGATAATAGACATACTGCAGGTCTTCCGAAGGTGAAGTACCTTTCATAAGTTTCTTCAGGCCGTTTGTCCTATAAAGAGGACATTTATCTTTTTCATATATTTTATAGATATAAATTTCCCCTATAGATAGAAAGTTGTCACAGGACTTCTACAAATAGAAAGCCTTTTCTGGTCCTATCACAGGGTTTAAGGCAGCTTATATGTCATATACGACATTTACGGACCTCTTTTAGTGCTCCAATGGATAGAAAGTCTTAAACAGACCTTCTAGGAATAAAAGCAGTCTCACAGGGTTTTTATGTGTGAAGGACTCCTCAAAAGACTCCTAGCTGGATTTCTATGGATAAGAGGCTTCCAGCAAGTCTTCTAAGAATAAAAGACCGTTTTAGCGATGTCCGTCTCTCGGTGTGTCTGTCTGTTTTAATCACTTTATCTTTCGAACGAATTGAGATAGAAGACTAAAATTTTGCACACATGTGTATTTTGCCAGTAGGAAAGTTAAGTTCGTAAGTGGGTCATAAAGGTTTACGTTTTCATATAACTGTGCATCCCAATGTTCGGAATTGTTATGATTTTGCCATATTTTTTACCGGAATTATTTCAAATTTCGTATTTAAAGTTCGTAATAGGTACTTGAGCTTATGACAATCGCTTAAGCAGGTCCACATCTTCGCATAGCCCCCATATAACGGTATCTCCCAATATTCGGTATTTGTATGATTTCAGCGAAAATTTTTTCCGGAATTGTTTTAAATTTTTTATTCGAAGTTCGCAATGTGTACTACAGCATATGGGAAAAATTACTTTTGAAGAAACACGTCTTTTTTGACCGTGACCTTCACGGGCCTGAATGGATAAATTGCTTATTACAGGTCTTCTATGGATATAAGACCTTGTAAAGATTCTCTACATGCCTTTATGACTTATAGGTCTTTTAAAGATCTGGATAGAGATTTCTGATAAGTGTTATTGTTACCCATAGAAGGACACTCACAACCTTGTTTCGATAGAAAGACTTGAGCAGGACTTCTAGGAAAAAAGGACTCTAACGGGGCTTTTATGGATAAAAGACTTCTAAGATACCTCTTACTGACCTTGTATAAATAGACGGGCTCTAATTGGTATTCTAAAGATAATAGGGTTCCAACATGTCTTCTTAGGTTAGAAGACTTTTAAGAGCATTTCTATGGATAGATGGCTTGGCATAGGACTTCCATGGAGAGAAGAGTCTGTGTGCGTGTAGATGGCTTGTCACAGGTCTTCTATGGAGTGAAGTATAAATTCTCTACTGCTGAAAAATCTTCAATGAGTTTTCGGAGATCGGAGACGTTTCAGAGATCTTTTCTGTGGACCATAGAACCCTACATGCCTTTTACGAATTTAAGATCTTTTCCACGTCTAGATAGGGGCCTCTCATAGGTGTTTTTGTTTTTGGAAGGACTTTTGAGTTGCCTAACATAATCCTAAGGATAAGAGGCCTTACACATGGTGGATTTAAGGCTACAAGACGCTATAGATAAAATGTCTCCTATACTCCTCTCCCAAGTCTTCTACGAATATGAAGCCTTGAACAGGTTTTTTTTTAGGAATTAACGGACTTTCACAAGAAGAAAGATTCCAAAGAGACCTCTCATAGACCTTTTATAAATATGTTAGTTCTAACTGTTCTTCTATGGATAATAGGATTGAAATATATATTCTAATGCTAGAAGACTTTTCAGGGCCTTTCTATGAATTATCGCAGTTATTCCATGTATAGAAGACCTTGTAATGCTAGGAGGCCTTTTATAGGTTTGCTATGACTAAAACACCTTTCTCGAGTCTTCTATAGATAGAGGGCCTTCTAAGGTTTATCAATGTCCCTCGGGATTTTTTACAGGGAAATGCATTTAACAGGTCTTCAACTTCTAAACGGCATCTTACAAGCCTATCATGGATAAGAAGTATTTCCATAATTTTTCGGGGGATACCTTTTAAAGGTCATCTCTGAATGAAGGCCTCTCCCCAATTTTCGGTGTGCAGAACATTTATTTTAAGGATAGAATATCTCCTACATTTCCTCTGTGGATAACAGGCCTCTCACAATAGATGTCCTATGGTTTTTTTTATGGAGTAAAGCCATTTGACAGATCTTCTATGAAAGAATAACTTCTTATCCATACAATGTATTTGGATAGGAAGACCTGGAAGACCTTCACAGGTCATCTCGGAACAGAAGGCCTTCCACAGTTCTTCTAGAAGGTTTCCTGCAGTCTTCCTATACATAATAGGCTTCTCACAGGCCTTCTCTAGGTAAGAGGAATTTGACGGGACTTCTATGATGGGAAGATGCTTCTATGTTGAATGTTTTTGTTGCTGTTGTTCAATGTGGTCCCAATACCAAAATTTGAAATATTCAACCCCATCTGTTGAACCAAAAAAATTCCAGCTCCAAACGTTCAACCAAAACGAAATTGTTTAAAATTAAGCACTATTTAGAACAGTTCTTACATTTAGTACATATTTCCAGTACTTGCAGAGCTTTTTATTACTTTTGGTACACTTATAGTTCGAATTTCCAAAAAAGAAACTTTAGTACATCTATCTTACATTGCATCATTTCAAATTTCAATTTCAAAAATTCTATCTCCTTTTGATACTTTTACCCCACCTTTACACATCAACTTGGACCAACATGAAAAACGTCAAGATTCTAGCTTCAGCCGTTTAGCCTGGGTCTTGAATCATTCAGTCACTCACTGGAATATTTCAAAATATATGTTTCGAAAACAATGGATAGTGTGTAATAGTATAACTTATGAACCAATATACACATATGGAATATAAGAGATCTCTTATATATAAAAACCTTGCCATTGACATCACCTTCCGTACGATGTTTGTAGAAACAAAATCGGTTTATGCATTCCAGAGAACATCAATTACTAACACAATCCAATTTTTTTTATAACTTCTGGTAGAAATTTTCTTAATATATGTTTCTTTAAAAATATATATGTTTCGAAAGGAGTGTAGTGTTTTGTAATATAACCTATGAACCAATACACATACAGAGATCTCTTGTATATATATAATTGAGAACATCAATTACTAACACAATATAACTTTTTTTACCATTTCTGGTAGAAATTTTCTTAAAAGATTTATTTGAGGAATCCATTTAGCCCGAAGAAGGGTATATCCGAGTCGTAGGAAGTGTGGCCATATCTATTATTTATTTATTTTTTTTTTTTACATTTTTGAATTGTTCGTGTTTCATTTTGATTCCTTTATTTTGTCACACCCTGTAACTCTGCCGGACTCATAAGTATATTTTCCATAATATGTATATGTTTCTTTTTTTCTGGTGTATGTCTGAATATATCTATATTGTTTATTTAATTATTCATTAATTTTTGCATTATAATTTAACTATATATTACATAAAGTTTATTTATACATTCATATATATATCATAGTTTATACCTATAGATTTATACTTACATTTAATAAAGGCTAAATATTTGTTTTCTAGTTTCCTCCCAACCGCGGGGTGAATGCTTGAATTGCATTTTAAATTTTTTGTATGGTGTTTTCAAAATTTAAACGGTTTCAGTTTTTTGGGGAACACAAAAAAAAAACTGAAGAGCTTACAAAATAAAATTTACATTGGTTTTGAAATCAATTTACTAAAAGCCTAGCCCTTTTTTGTGGTGCCACTAAATATTTGATATTTATGCCAAAGGGACCCTTTGTAGCCGATACAATAGTTAAAGCATTTACACCATGACAAGAAACGATTTCTTTTTGGGTTAATCATTTTCTAAAGTTTGTTTTTATTTATTTTTTTTTTATAATAAATTGCCTTGGAATTTTTTCATTCCGTTTTTCTTAATTGACTATTTTTAATTTCATATTTTTATTTTATTTTTGTATGTATATAAACGTATGAAAAAACTCATCCATTTTTTATTTAATTTTTTAATTTCACCTTATAACACCTTAAATGTATTTAAACAAAATTAACAACAATGCCAGGGATTGCAAGCGTTTTCCTATAGCGTTAGCTGCAGTAGCAACGTCAGCGGCAGCGGCACTTGACAGTTCTTCGCCCTGTCCGGGCACGCCGTAGATATCGTTCGGACCAGCAGTTTTATCTACGAGTTGAGATTTTTGTTCAGATAAAGCGATTTCATTAAGTTTGATTTGATAATGTGTATCTACAAATACAGGGAATGGTATATATGTATGTAATATGGTGATGATGATGACGTGATATGATATAATAATGATGATGATAATTTATGCAAGGGTAAAATTAGTGAGAAATTAGGGTATCGATAAATTATGTCTCCTAGTACTTTACTTAACCTTAAGTAAGAATGTCCAAAGGCCTGCCTTGTATTAGTCAAAATTAAGCCACCGACAAAACTAAAACTCTTAACAATCGCGAAATAATTTTTATTTAATTTTGATTTTTTTTACAATTTGGTACCTTTTAGTACTTTTTGTACCTTCATAGTGCCAAATTAAAAAAAAACAAACTGTCCTATCTCACCTTAAAGTTTTTTAAAACCACTAAGCATTTTGTGTCTTTGGGTTTTTATACCCTCCACCGTACATAGTATAGAGGGTATATTAATTTTTAGACCCCATAAAGTATATAGATTCTTGATAAGCATAAAATTCTATCTCGATTTAGCGATGTTCGTCCCTCTGTCCGTTTATGGAAATCACTCTAGCTTCCGAACGAAATGAAGTAAGTTGATAAAATTTTACTCAAATGTACAGGGTGAGATGAAAAAACTGTAATAAAATTCAGACTGCTGTCATTTCTAATACACTCGTCCGACAGCTGTTAAAATTATTCCTGTGACAGCTCATTGTATTGTTTACAAGCATACAAAAGCATTTTGCTGATAATTTTCCAGAAAAAAACTATTCGTGTTGGAATTCAAACGTGATTGTGTGATTTCTTTATATTTGGCTGGAAAACCACAAGTGGCTATCGTTAGAGCACTCCAACTTTTGAGTTTGAATAAATCTTTTGTATCTCGTACCATCGCTCGTTGCCGTGATACTGGCAGCGTCAAGAAACTGGACGGAAGAAAACAGCAACATCAGCGGAAATGGTTCGAAAAGTAAAGCAGCGACTTGAGAAGTGGCCGAAAAATGGCTCGTGAGCTGAACATATCGCAATATTCCATTCGGCAAATATTGAAAAATGAACTCGGGGTAAAGCCATTGGAATTCCAAAAAGTGTAAAAACTTACACCGCATCGGAAAGAAAATAGACTCAAAAGAGCTAAAGAGTTGCTTCGCTTGGCCGAAAGTGGTGATCTGCCGAATTTGTTTTTCTCCGATGAGAAAACATTCGTTGTCCAGCAATTTGTAGACAAACGAAATGATCGTGTCAGCTGAAAATGTGCATCTTTGGTTGGCCACCAGAACTCAAGCGCCGTCCATGGTGTTGGTGTGGGCCGCCATAACAACCGATGGCCGCTCCGTTCGTATTAATCGACCGTGGCATCAGAATAAATGCCGATTATTATCACGAAAATATTCTGGAGGCTGTATTAAAGCCTTGGGCACGCAAACATTTTGGCCGCAGACCTTGGACATTCCAAAAGAACTCAGCACCATCGCACTCAGCACACGCCACTCAAGAATGGTTACAAAATGAGGTTCCTCGCTTCATTTTCAGTGCACAATGGCCACCAAAATCTCCGGATACCAATCCGTTGGACTATTGTGTCTGGAGTGCTGCGGAAAGCAAATTTGGCACTAAATAGTACCAAAGTTCCAATAACCTCAAGCAAACGCTTCGCTGGGAATGGGCTAAAATGCCGCAGAGCAATAATCGTGTAACGTATGACGGTTTCATTGGCCGTTTGAAGTTCAAAATTCGTGCCAAAGGTGACCAATTCGAACAAATCTAAACTATGGAATTTAATTATATTTTCAAGTTTCGCAGTTTAATATTGTAATGGCTTATGACAAAACTTGCCTATGGAGGTCCGCGTCATCGTGTAGACTCGGTATTTTTAAGATTTTAACAGAATTTTTAAGAGATTTTATTTTTTTGTTTGAAAATTGTCAAATTCGTTCCATATGGTGGAGGGTATTCAAGGTTCGGACCGGCCGAACTTACAGATTTTTTACTTGTTTATATACGTAATCACGAAATTTCTAATGTTCCGTCGTATCTCATCGTCCTGACCAGAAAGGTCAGTCAACAAACTCCTTGAGAATTCCATATGTCCATTTGAAACCAAATTAGTTTTCATTTCCTGATTTTTATGATGTGTTTGACCATTAAACCTATTTTAAACATATTTATCCTGAATGGGTATTAGTACTTACTTTTATCCGAACCATGATGACTTCGTGATGAATCTGAACCATACGCACCATCCCATCGCGTTGGATCGGTGAGGAAATTTCCTGTAGGTGCCGTTGTGGGTGGATATGAAACTGAAAGCAAAAAAAAAAAAAAACAACAAACAAATACAATTAAATAGACGCATTGCAAAAAAACACAACTCAAATATCGAACAATAATATCTATAAATAATTGATACGATTTGAGTAAATAGTATTAAATAACCGTGAAATAACAATAATTTTAATGTGTGTCTGTGTGTGCGTGCTCGTTTTTTGTGCGTGTTGAGGATATACTGCGGTGTATATTTGCATGGGCTATTTTTAATACCTTAAACAGTTTTGCATAAATAATCGGTTTTGTTATTGCTGTTGTTGATGCGATGACTGACTATTAATGGTTTACGCCTTACGCACAATTGCACAGTGGGTGCAATAGCGATACAGAGGGTTAAGGAATTGAAAGAACTTGAAATATTGCGAGAGGGAGAAAGATGATATTGGGCGAAAAAATGTATTGTCCAGGTTATAAAATATGGAAACTGTATTATCCACGTTATCCAAATTTGTTAAAAATATTATCCACGTTATCCAAATTTGTTAAAAATATTATCCACGTTGTCCGAATTCGTAAAAAATATTATCCACGATATCCAAATACGGTAAATGCAAATGCATGTATTATCCGTGTTATCTAAATGTATTATCCACGTTATCCAAATTCATTAAAAAATATTATGCACGTTATCCAAATGCGTTTAAAATATTATTCACGTTATTCAATTTCATTAAAATTATTATTCACGTCATCCGAATGCGGTAAATTATTATCCATGTTATCCAAATTTAAACAAAAAAAAAAAAAAAAAAAAAATATGCACGTTATCCAAATTCGTTAAACATATTATCCATGTTATCCAAATTCGTTTAAAATATTATCCACGTCATCCAAATTCGTTAAAAATACTATTCACGTTATCCAAACTCGTCAAAAATATCCACGGTATCCAAATTCGTTAAAAATATTATCCATGTTATCCAAATTCGTTTAAAATATTATCCACGTCATCCAAATTCGTTAAAAATACTATTCACGTTATCCAAACTCGTCAAAAATATCCACGGTATCCAAATTCGTTAAAAATATTATCCATGTCATCCAAATTCGTTTAAAATATTATCCACGTCATCCAAATTCGTTAAAAATACTATTCACGTTATCCAAACTCGTCAAAAATATCCACGTTATCCAAATTCGTAAGAAACATTATCCATGTTATCCAAATATGTTAAAAATATTATCCACGTTATCCACGTTATCCAAATTCCTTAAAAATTTTATCCACGTTATTCGAATGCGGTAAATGTATTATCCATGTTATCCAAATTAGTAAAAAACATTATCCACATTATCCAAATTCGTTAAAATATTATCCATGTTATCCAAATTCGTTAAAAATATTATCCATGTTAACCAAATTCGTTCAAAATATTATCCACGTTATCCAAATTCGTTAAAAATATTATTCACGTTATCCAAATTCGTTAAAAATATTATCCACGTTATCCAAATTCGTTAAAAATATTATCCACCTTATCCAAATCCGCTAAAAATATTATCCGCGTTTTCTAAATTAGTAAAAACTATTGTCCACATTATCCAAAAGTGTTAAAAATATATTCACCGTTATCCAAATTCATTAAAAGTATTATCCACGTTATCCAAATTAGTAAAAGCTATTGTCCACGTTATCCAAATACGGTAAATATGTTATCCACGTTATCCAAATCCGTTAAAAATATTATCCACGTTATCCAAATTCGTTAAAAATATTATCCATGTTATTCAAATTCGTTAAAAATATTATCCACGTTATTCAAAATGGTAAATGTGTTATCCACGTTATCCAAATTTGTTAAAATATTATCCATGTTATCCAAATTCGTTAAAAATATTATCCACGTTATCCAAATTCGTTAAAAATATTATCCATGTTATTCAAATTCGTTAAAAATATTATCCACGACATCCAAATTCGTTAACAATATTATCCACGATATAATGTGTTATCCACGTTATCCAAATTCATATTCAAAATAGTTTAAAGTATTATCCGCGTTATCCGAATTATTTAAAAATACTATCCACGAAAAAAATATTATCTACGTTATCCAACTTCGATAAAAATTATATCCACATTATGCTAATGCGTTAAAAATATTATCCACGTTATCCAAATTAGTATCCGCGTTATCCGCATTCTTAAAAAACACTATCCAAATTGTCCAAATTCGTTAATAACGTTATCCTCTTTATCCAAATTAGTAAGAAATATTATCCACGTTATCAAAACACGTTAAAAATATTGTCCACGTTATCCAAATGCGTTAAAATATTATCCACGTTATCCAAATCCGCTAAAAATATTATCCACGATATCAAAACACGTTAAAAATTATGTCCACGTTATCCAAATGCGTTAAAATATTATTCACGTTATCCAAATCCGCTAAAAATATTATCCACGTTATCCGAATACGGTAAACGTATTATCCATGTTATCCAAATTAGTAAAAAACAGTATCCACCTTATCCAAATTTGTTAAAAATATTATCCACGTTATCCAATCATGTTGTTCACATATGCCTAAAAATATTATCCACATTATCAAAATGTGGTTAGTTATTATCCACACTATCCAAATGCGGTTCATATATTATCCACATTATCCAAATGGAGTAAATCTATTATCCACGTTATCCAAATGCGTTAAATTTTTTCCGCGTTATCCGATTTCTTTAGAAATATTATCTAAATTCTTTAAAAACGCTATCCTCTTTATCCAAATTGTTTAAACATATTATCCACGTTGCCCAAATGCCGTAAAAATATTATCTACGTATCTAAATGCTTTAAATATGTTATCCATATTCCTTACAAATGTTATCTACGTTATCCAAATACGGTAAAAATTATTTTAACACGTTATCCGTGTTATCCAAATATGGTAAATGTGTTATCCACATCATCGAAATGCCATAAAATATTATCCACGTTATCCAAATGTAGCAAATATAATATCCATTTTATCCGAATGAGAAGAATATATTATCCGCGATATCTAAATGCGTATAAACCCAATATACACGTAATCCAAATTCGGCAAATACAGTATCCTAATTTTATAAAATTGTTTTCTTTTTATAAATTTTCCACCCACAGTTTTGAATATTTGAATAATATGTTGATCTATGGAGGATATATTTATGCCGGTTATTGTTTTGTGTGGCTGTGCCATACTCACATAGATATATATATTTGCCCTCCTACAAATGTTATGCAGACACATATACATTGTTCATTGTCGATGTGTTTGTGTGCCAATGTGCCCGAGTTTCGAAATGCTAATTATAAATTGTTGAATTGTCTCCGCGAACAACATGTCAATTACAACTAATAGGCGGGATGGCGGGCAATGGCTATGTCAAAAGTTAAATTAGGAAATTTTATTTTTATCGTTTCACGGATTTAATAGAGATATTCTTTTTGGCAAAAATATAAATATGACATACATTTAATATGATTGTGATTTAAAATTTTAAAGAGACAGTTTAAAGTTTATAGATAATGTCGAAGGGCACTGGACATCCAAGATTTCGATACTTTAAACAGGCGCAACAAATACATAAATTTCTGAATGATATGCAATCCCTCTGAAACTACAATTCTTCAACATTATTCTTCTCTAAAATTATTTTCCACATTTTATTAATTTTTTTTTAATCACCCACCTAAAATCCTTTTCCCATCACTACGTCCCTGATATTGTCTATCTGTATTGTTGTACGAGTCTCTGCCCACCGCCCCCTTGTCTGCCTCAATCACGTGTCCATTGGGGATTTTTTTAATTGTGGTTTCGCCAAATGAGAGCCATTCAATTAAATTGTTGAATAATTAAAATTTGTTACCCATCGCCAGCCAGCATTAGAGGGGCTTATTTTGGAATTTTCTATAGTAAATTTAACACAACACATTTAATTTGTTTAGTTTAAAAATATTTGTGAACGACAGCGTTGTATGTGTGCATGCCGTTTTGAATGGCAGGCCTTTAAAGGGGAGAGAAACACTCATAAGCTGATTAGCGGAAAAAATTGAAAACATTGAATTGGAAAGAAATTGAAATTATTTTAAAAAAATTTGGGGGAAAGTGCAAATAGCACATACAGATATTTTAGAGGTCAGTTCTTTTTTCAAAAGCCACATGGGGTAAATCTTATTAAAGTTCTGGGGTTTTATCCATATTTTATAAAACATATATTATCCACGTTATTTAGAAGAAAATAACAGAAATAAAACGGTGATTTTTTTAAGAGCTATAGGGAAGTTTAAAAAAAAACAAAACACAGTTCGTTAGGAATCGCAGCATCTGCTCATAAACCACACCAACATGTATATTTTTCTGGATGCATTGGAAGATTTGCTGTCTGGCTGATATACACTTTAAAATCGAAAATTCTGCTTATTTATATACCCATTAAGCCAAAAATGAGCTTGGCCACAAAAAGAAAAAAGTGCGCGATGAACTTCGTTAATAGAGGCAGGTATTATTTTGATAATAAAATCCAATTATTTGTAAGCGTTATTTGTTTGTAAGACGTTTCATGGTATAGCCCAAACTGAAGATGATATCAAATATCAGAAGAAAGATATCCAAATTCTAGAATTTCAGTTCTTTAATTTCCCCCATTACCCAATTTAGTACCATTTGGTACAATTATAGTACGCATTAGCAGAACCAGCTCCTTCTATCAACCACAGAGACCAACAGTGACATCCTATCAAATTTCAGAATTTAAGCTCTATTCATTCACCCAATACTAATTAGTACTACTTAGTACTTTTCGTACAATTAAAGTACACATTTTCAAAGCCACCACCATATCTCAATTTCAGAACCCGAAAAAGACCTCAATATCACTTTTGAGGATTCCACTTTCATCCCTTCAGCCGATACACAATTTAGTACCACTTAGTACTTTTCGAACAATTATAGTACACATTTCCAAAACTTTCTCCATATATCAATTCCAC